TTCGGCAACTTTCCCAACGGATGATGCTCATGTCAAACTTACGAGGGCTGGTTCATAAATTTCGTAATTACCTCGACACTTTCAATTTTAACAAAGTTTCTGTTGGCACGGCAGGATAATTTACAGGCATCGTGGATTTCCCAGAACTGCAGCTCTGACTTGGAGAAAACATTTGGATTGCTATTTGGAACAAAAATAAAAAACCGTCACAATGCCGAGATCAGAACCTTTCCTATTGCCATGTGGCTTTCAAATCTGGGACACTATCAAATTTGAAATATTATTGGTAAAACTTATGAACGAACCGCGAATTCAAAGAACTTGCAAGTGTCATTACCACACAGTAATATGATTCACTTTCAATAATTTGTGGCGCTTTAAAATGGAATTTTGAACAGTGGTCGATAAATGTTTGCATATAAGCGTTGGTCCGCGTCATACTCTTTCATTCTTCATTCAACAAAGAGTAAACTAAAACAAGCTTACGTACCAATCCTCGTACTAAACCGGGTCTTTATTTTCTAAATTGTGTGCTGTCATGCTTTTTATACGGGAAAAGGTTTTAAGAATTTCCAATATCTTTGTAAGCAAATGATCCGGAGTCCAACTTACGCTAGTGTAGAAGTCAAAGTGGAGCTAAAGCTTCGTAAGGTGGCCAAATAAGGGCGTTCAGTGGAGCTTTTGGAACGGACTTTAGCTATTTTTATCTTCCTTATCTTAGTAAATGAAAAAGGGATTTCCGCATTTATGACCAGACAGAGACGATGGAAATGAGGATTTTAATGTACGGACCACGGTAAAGTTCGTGGAGATGAATTCAAAAGAAAATCGAAATTTATGCGATTCTAAGACTTCCTTCCCGATCGCAATTTCCTCGGCTTTATTTTTCGTTAGTCTCGAAGAAAGAATTCAATATTCCGTCTTGACTTCTCAAGACCGAGAGGGGATTCGGACAGTAATATACACGATTTCTTTCTTTCGTTCCCCGCCGGAAAGCTCCTTTCAAATCGCAAATTGTTTTTCTTCAGAGAGTTAATTACAATCGGCAGTCGAGAAATCGCATCGTCTGATCGGAAAATTTCGCCGTTGCGCAACCGAATGAAGCTTTCGCTGCTCGGTCTTCTCGTGTTCGCTTTTCCGAAGAAGGAAAAAAAAGCATAAAAAAGAGCTGAAAAACCTTTCCGCGCGTCGAATAACGACATCATAAACAAGGAGCAATTTACTGCGGCAATAGGGCTGGACGAACGCGGTAAAAGGGAAAGAAAAACTGAGTTTCATTCAGGCAACCAAGTGAGCAACGAATCGGTGTCAACAGCCTCTCGCGTGAACTTCCCGTTCCTGCTTTTTTGGCCCAACATCTTCGAGCTGGAAAACTCTGGAAATTTATTTCTTGGTTGTTGCAGCTCTCTCTCTCTCTTTCCGTCGCTCTTTTATTCTCTCGACTTCCTGCTGATTCAGCTAAAAATTTCCGAGCAACTTCGTAGCGTTCATTAAAAAAAACGAAATCTCAACAAAGAAATCCCTTCGCACGTATGCGCTTTTGTTTCGCTCGACATGTTTGGGGCACAGTTTCGATGATCGCCTGGGATAATTGATTCCGGGATCTAATCTATTGTTGCGAGGCCGCTGTTCGATAGCAATTAAAGGNGTGAGCAACGAATCGGTGTCAACAGCCTCTCGCGTGAACTTCCCGTTCCTGCTTTTTTGGCCCAACATCTTCGAGCTGGAAAACTCTGGAAATTTATTTCTTGGTTGTTGCAGCTCTCTCTCTCTCTTTCCGTCGCTCTTTTATTCTCTCGACTTCCTGCTGATTCAGCTAAAAATTTCCGAGCAACTTCGTAGCGTTCATTAAAAAAAACGAAATCTCAACAAAGAAATCCCTTCGCACGTATGCGCTTTTGTTTCGCTCGACATGTTTGGGGCACAGTTTCGATGATCGCCTGGGATAATTGATTCCGGGATCTAATCTATTGTTGCGAGGCCGCTGTTCGATAGCAATTAAAGGGTCACGCAAAGGATGTAAAAATACTTTCAAAAACTAAGTAAAATTTAGTAAGTTTGGTCCTCTTCTCCGGAGTCAAGTGGATTTAGGTGATGACTATGTATCTTGATTTCGGGCAGCATTTCAAAGGAAAAACTCCGCAGGCCGCAGGAAAAATTATAATCCATGCAGAGGAAAAACAGAGGATATTTACACTTGAAATATAGATCAATTTTGCCTTGGAAATCCAACATGAATTCAAACATTTCAAAGGCTTGGCTGAAGTCGTCATGCAATAGTAAAGAAAAAGAGTAAAAATAAGCAAATTACTGTACAGTACTTTCAGAAATTTTCCGATGGATGGTTTTCGATTCCGAAGGGTCTTCATTTTTCCTATGGTTCATGTATTCATCAATTGGGTTCCTTGTATAAGCCGTACATCAGCGGAACACTGATATATTTACCTCGAGCATAGAACGCTCCCAAAAACATAGATAACATTTTTTCTGAGAAAAGTGCATCTGCCTCCATAAAAATACAAAAATATGTGTTTAAATTGTCTTTAGAAGAAGTCACTCGGAAGACATCATTCCAGAGAAAGGCTGTTTTTCAGTCCTTGCTAGAGTCGACGCTAGCCAATGGGAAATACTTGTCGGGACTGGCACCAGAATCGGGAAACAAAATCTAATTCTGCGCGCTTAAGCATCATTACAGCAGACGTCGAACCAAGGAACGAAAGCGAGAAGAAGGGACTGACTTACTGAATGAATGAATGAATGAAGAAGCCCCTTTTCAGCCAAGGAAAAAGACCTCTCGATTAATTTCTGTCGGTCGACTGTTAACGTCGCACGTGTACCATGGGCTTAGGCGTCTCGCACCTTTCCTTTTCACTTGCGGCCAAGTAGCTTGGCGGGTCGGATCCATCAAAATCACAAGCGGTTGCGCAACCGAACCAACGCGGATTGTTAACCTCTTTCCCTCCGGTATTATGGAACTTGGGGGGACCACGCAGAACGCCACAGTTTCCCTCTCGCTATCAAAAATGCGTACCGAAAATTTTTTTTTCTGAATTTTCTACAACATTTCCTTGAATAAATATTCAAGAAACATCAAGCGTTTCAATCTTCTCTGGCTTTATGCATGCAAGAAGAGCTGATCTTCAAAATTAGAAATGAGTCAGTCAATTCGAAACTGGTAAAAAGTGCGCTTGAAATTTCAAAAGGTTGAGCAGATTAAATTTGCACACTTTTCAACAAAATCAAATGGGTATTCTAATTCGAACAAGAAATAGAACGACATGAATTCGATGAAATTTTAGCTACCAGACTGTGCTAATAGACATTTGTGAAATCAATTTGAGTAACAAAAAAAAATTATTTTGGGAACACGTGGATAATGCGATATTTTTAAAAGGTGAGTACTGTACCAGGTTTAATCACACTGAGGAACATTGAACAGGTACACCACAAATAATATCGAAATGTATTCAGGTCCGTATTTCGATGTGGTTTCTCGATCCAAAAACCGAAAGCACAAGTGTCACAACCAAAACTGTAATTTTTTTTAGAATAAGTTTCTGAATCATGTTCTGAAATGAGGAGTGAAAGAGTGTAACGCTATTTCTAACAATCACTAATTTGCAAATCATTCTCTAATGCAGTGGGAGTATTCTTCACAAGAGAAACTTGGAGCAATTTCCCTTTCAAAGTAGAGTTATTTTTCAAGTTGAAAAAGTACATGCCTGGTGGGAGATTTAAACTGAACACGGGAGGGAAAACAAGTAACTCGATGAATCCCAGAAAATCCAAGAAAGATTCTCAGGTCGATAACTGCGCAATTCGCTGCGTTCACTTGAAGACCCTCTTTTCTAACCCATTTTGCCATATTTTCTTATCAGCACATATATTCTGATCATATTTCGCATTATATTTCAAGCATTTTTTTTAGCAATTAATGTTTAGCACAAGAAAATCCCGAAAGAAACCACAAGCGAATATTCTTTGCCAAGCAGTTGGTCGTAAAAGTTTCATTGAATAGCCGCGGAATTATAGAATCAATAAACCCCGACCCGTTAGTGCTAAATGCCCGACGGTTTCAACTTTCACCCTGTGCCTAAATGAAGCCCCTCGAATGACCAGAATCACAGCTCGTCTTATGGCTCTGAATAAGCTCGGAAGATAATTGAGATTGACAAAAATGAAAGTTTTCTAGACGCTCCGAGATGAAGAGAAAAAGTTTTCAAAGCCGAAGTTCACTGGCTTCGAAATTTTCGCTGAATCAATCCGACTCTCTTCATCGAGATCGTAACGCTCTTGATGCGATAATTTTTCAGAAGTTCTCCGACTTGTGAAAAAACACCAACATGTCGTCAAAATGACTGACATTTTAAAAGCAGTTCAACAACGTAAAACTTGCTCACCGTGCTCCCAAATTTCTTTCAATCATCGTGCAATTTTCAATTTTAGAAATTCAAGCGGAAATGTTTCTATCTTTGAGCTGCTCATCGCAAAAAAAGACCAGCTTTCTTTTCAAGTTTCGAAAAAAATTCACAGAGAAGCAAATTTAAGCTTTGGAAAGTACCACAAATCAAAACGTTCCAAGTCATGGGAGGGCCTACGGAAGTCAAAAGATCAATGCCAGCATAAGCAATGAAATTCTTTGAGCAAAAGAAAAATCTCTACACAAAATGAGGAAGCGTGGCGTTAAATTTTCTGCTTGTAGTAATGAAAACCACTCGTTCACATATGTGACGACAAACCTGGCCTGACACTTTTTTTTTTTCATTTTCAGGACCATTTTAGTCATAAAATAAATCAGGAAGTCGCCGAGTCTTCGCCGCTGCTCCCTCGTTCATGAGCACATTCATTTTGACTCACATTTTTTTCGAGTTTGAAGATTGAAGAAAATTGGAAGAACGATACGGGTCAAATAAAAATGCTTGGGTTTTGTTTTGGATCACGGACGAGTCTGAGATCTTTTGTAAAGACCCTCGCATAATATCAGAAGAAAAGTTGCTCACCAGTGAGTCGACGAAGAGCAGGAATCCAAGCTTGGGGACACAGAATTAACACCGATGTCCAGGAGCAGTAGTTCTCGACATTTTAAACTCTCACTCCGTCACTGATCAAGTTTCTCTTTTCTTTCCTTTTTTGCTGCGATGATCCAGTTGAATCCAAGAAGAGGGTGCTTAGTTACGAGTGTCGATTCCCAAGTCACAGCCCGGTCAACTTAGTTCAGCACCGGGTCGATCAAAGTCCTAATGGTCCGACACAAAACTCGGCGCGCACTTTATCCAAAGTCTCAATTCCACAATATATCACTTCAATCGAGTGCCTTTGCTTTCAAGAAAATATTTCCTGCAAAAAAAGGGAGCAAGGGATTAGCTCAGACAGTAATCCCGATTCGATCGAATCTCGTCAGCATCCGTGGTGGCTGGACACGAAAACTACAAATGAATGATCACTGGCGAAAAGAAAATCGTCACTTTGGCGCCGCTGTACCGATCAAGCCATTGATCATCGGCCAAATTCGCAAAATTATGAGAGATCCGGAAGTCATTTGAACCAAATTCACCAGCAGAAGTTGCAAAAAAAAAAAAAAAAAAGGCGAATCGCGAGACTAGAATGCACGGAGGAAATTATGCGCTCGAAATGTATCATCAGACACTCGTCGAACGACAATCATTCATGATTCAGCAAATGCCACGTTATCAAATGTGCGAACAAGCACGATTAAGCTATGAGAGAGAAACCTTCGAAGGGGCCAAGCCTTCCAAGGATTTGGTGCCGCAGGAAATAGGCGTCTTCCTTCTTTACAATTATTTTTATTTTTGTTTTAAAAAATCATTTCGACTTTATAATCGATTTTGAGATATAAAAAATAGCAGCCTTTTAAAGAAAACATCTAAAAATGTAGATTCCTTTTACAGACTCTGAATAAGTTTAGAAATATGTCGAACAGAAGTCCAGAAATGTTTTTGCAGGGTTTAGCGAGGATGATCAACGCTCCTGATTTTAAAAATCGTAAAACATTTAATTTCGTTACAGGAAAAATGTAGCTCTGAGAAAGCTTAAAAGTCGCGAGAATTTCATGCAAGCTCTCACGGCATAAAAACTGTGAATGCGTACAAAAATTGGTCTTCAAACAAACCGCATCTTCATGAGTTTTGAAATATGTATTTTTACGTTTCCTTTTGTACTCAAAGTAACCTGAATACCCTAAAACCTACATGCCCGAAAGTTTAGAAGATCGAGGACTTTTTATCTGGGTTTTATATAATTTTACATGAATCATACCGAATAAAAAAATCTTCGTTCGTTGAAAATTTACTTGAAAATTGTATGGTTCACTCTGTGAGTACTGTGCTTCATAATTTCCAGCCAATCAGTGCGCGCAAGTTTGCTTGATATGAAATGCGAGAATTTCAAATGCAATTGAAGCATGGAAGGAGGAAAAACGGACAGAAATATTTTACGACGCTTTCTCCAGCGAGAAGAAAAAGTTTGAAACAGAATGATGCTTATGATGATTTATTACGCGAAGTGGTTATTATTATTTTCTATTTTTTTAATTTTCGTGGCAGTACCTGGAAATTATGCGCGTCGCTATTTTTTTTTTCATTTTTTTTTTAGTAGGCGAACGGCAGGAGATTACGATGCAGTTTCGGGGGATCAGATGGACTCGGTTATTTTCTCGTAACACGCGGAGGTAGGTAACTTCGGGTATTATGTAGTTCGTCGGCACCGAAGCCGAACAGCAGAGAAAGTGAAGCCCAACCCTATCTTTGGGCAGTCGTCCTTCTTCCACTTCTACTTCTACTTTGTTCTACTCCCCCGAAACAAATTCCGTTCCCACCAAATCGCATTGTTGTTCATTTTCGGAGTCCGCGGTCTTCTTCTCTCTCCCCCATTTTGATTCCCAACGCTATATATTTTTTTATTCATTCGGCAAGTACCTTGCATTAAAGTGGAATGCACTGGATAAGATACATACATTCAGATGAAACAAGCATGCTTGCTTGCATTTGCCAAACGAACTGTAATTTATGCACACGAGAGTTAACTTGAAACTACCGGGTTTTTATGGAAAGAAGACACGTCAATTTTGTTTAGCCAAAAATAAATATAACCAAGACCACTGAGGAAATATTTCGTGTTACGATTATCAATAAATAAATAAAAATTGGGATTGAGATTATCGGAGTTTTCGAGCAGTTTTGTGGGAGATCATTGATGTAAATCAAGGGCAACGAATCCAAGTGAGAGAGTTAATTCAGTGGTAAGTAGCGCACTTTAATTTCACAGCAATTTAAGCTCTTTTGTATTTTTCAACATCGCATTTCATAGAAATAATACACCAAGGCTTGTTGAAGGTAGTACACTATTCATCTTTGAAGTAGTGTCTGAAAAAAGCACATGAGAACTAATTGCATTTCCCGAGAAAACAACATTTTACAGAGGAAAAATCTTTGACATCATTAATCGAATATCGTTTTTTATTGTACTTTCTCTTTCCACCTGTGACTCGATTAACATTTATATAATTTCTAGTTTTCGATAAATTTAGCGGGGTCGATTGAAGTGGTAATTCGATTTAATCTGTTTTGCGAATCGTGCATTTAGAGCTTCGATTCTTCAACAAAGACCTGGTGTTATTTAAAACAAAGCCATGCCTGCATGCCACAGGAAATGATTTATTGACTTGGAGGCTTTGTCTTTCCCATGCTGCTGGTTTTCTGTAAAAATTTGATACTGTCACTTGCATTGTATTAGCGATATTATGGATCCACTTTGAAGTATCCATGGATGCTAATGCTGTATATGCATTGAAAGATATTTCGGCGATGTGAATTTGATAGATACTGTAACTTCAGGCCTTACTCATACGATCTCATGAAGTTTCAAGTCACGGAAGTGTACGCAATTAAAATCTCTGCACCCATAAGATCATGAAATAGTAAAATGTACAGCTCTGCTTCATAAAAATATGGAAACATATCAAAGGCTCAAAAATCACAGAACCCAGCTAGTGGCCCGGAAGCAAACGAAAGTAAACATCAGCTAACCAAAGATCGTAATCGGCACTCTTGAGAATTCGCGATCAGTTTCCCGAACCGACACACGACGACGGCACGTGGAAGCACACGAACGCATATAAGCAAAACTCAAACAAGGCTCTGAGGTCGAAGCAGAAAGGGGTTTTCCTCCCCACGTTCTCCTCCAATTCTCCCACTTTTATTTTCAGGCATCGTGCGAAAGACAAACGCGAAACTCCCCGGCAAGATTTTCAGAATGAATGTTTGCTCGCTGAAAAATTCCCAGATCACCTTGGTGGATTTTTTTTTTCTTCTCGGCGAGAAGAAAAGAAGCAAGAGAAGGGAAAATAAACCAATACAGAGAGGATAACAGAAAGAAAAAGTTGTTCATCGACGTGGGTGGGTTTCCTATTTTTTTATTTTTAGCCAGGGTTAAGAAAGGACTTTCGAGGTGAGCTCAAGCACATGGGCGGATTGCTTTCCAGTAGGAACAGTGATATTTGCTGTCTGTCACGAGTTTTTTGACAGCATTCTTGAACTTTGACAGCTTGGTCAGAAAATGAAGAAACTTGTTTAGCGTGTTCCTAAAACCGTGTGGGTCGCAGTGGGCCTTCGCTGTGACTAGGGCTTTTTAATCGGGAGAAGTAGCGTTTTTAGAGTTATAATAGGCGTACCTCGGTTATTACGGTCAGGGTGCTTAACGAAAGTTTACTGCAAGCATCATCATAAAAAAATGTCCATATGATGAAAATGGGATAATTTTGCATGATGAGTAAATTGTCCGCATCAATGGTCAATTGTCAGACTGGCCATTCTTCAAGTTTCTACACGATTGTGCTTTTTTATTCCATTATATTTTTGTTAGCTTTGATTTTTAAAAAATTCAAGACTAAAACGCGAAGTGCATTTGTCTTTTCCAAACAGCAAATGAATTTTCATAATACCGTAAGTAAAAAAAATTTTAAGTCTATCTTCGAAGCGAAACTCAAAAGAGTTTTTATTAAAATATTATTTTTAAAGGGCACAATGGAAAAATTCGTTCAACGATTATCAAAGAAGATCAGTACAGTAAATAAATAATTAAGGACAAATCATGTGAACTTGACTCACGAGGAGAGAGCAAACAAAAAGCACGATTATTTACTCAAAATTTCAGAACACTCGCTCTCGATAAACAATTCTTTCGCGCAAATTGCTCTTTCGTGAAATTTCTTGTCTGGGTATCTTGAAAAAATCCCACAACTCATTCGAAGCGTCCAAAAATTGAATTAGTGTAACTCCATTCATAGATTCTCAGTCAACGATACGAAGGATCATGGTTTTTTTTTTAATGGGATCCGACTTTAAAATTTATTTTTTTTTGCAATACAGCTTCGTTTCAATTGAAGAAACATACTGTACAACACTGGCTACTTGAAAATTCCTTCAAGCGACGCACATCACGCAACGCGAACGATTTCCGCCCAAACTCAGTTCCTCGCAAAAAAAGACTCCCCGTTTTTCTGCGCGAAATGCAAAAATTCAAAACACATTCACAAAAGCACACAGGGTAGTCAAATGGGAACGCACTGAGACGGATTCGTTCCCGGTTCGAACTTTTTTTTTAGGAAGCGCAGCATTCGAGTGAAGGTTTCACTATGTGCCCAGGATTATTCCACTCACTAATGCACTACGCTGGTGCCACGAAGACGATATCAGCACAGACGTGGCCAACACCCCGTGGAAAGAAATACGACTATGGATTTCCGTGGCTTGAAAAGCGAGGATAAAGAAGAAAAAAATAACGAAGCGGAAGAAAATAGCCAGTCCGTGTCACTTGTGACAAGGAGGAAACGCAGTAAAACACCCCTGGTGTCACACACGCACAAGATGGAAACNTTTTGGCACACCCAGCGTCACCCGGAAGCGACACTGATCCCGAAAAATTAGCCCTCTTCATCGCAAAAATCTCAATATTATCCGCATGGAGCCAATAATGCCAGTCCCACGAATTGCTTTCAAATGAACAATCATCATCATAAAAAATGTCCATATGATGAAAATGGGATAATTTTGCATGATGAGTAAATTGTCCGCATCACTGGTCAATGGTCAGACTGGCCATTCTTCAAGTTTCTACACAATTGTGCTTTTTTATTCCATTATATTTTTGTTAGCTTTGATTTTTAAAAAATCAAGACAAAAACGCGAAGTGCATTTGTCTTTTCAAAACAGCAAATGAATTTTCATAATACCGTAGGTAAAAAAAAAAACCAAAGTCTATCGTCGAAGCGAAACTCAAAAGAATTGTTATTAAAATATTATTTTAAAAGGGCACAATGGGAAAATTCGTTCA